CTCGCCCTCGTTCCCATGTCCCCCAGGCTGCGGGGAGAGGGCACTGTCCCTAACTGGGCACGTGCTCTGCAGGAGCACCCCCCTGACTGGGAAGTGTTGGAAGGGGGGTCTCTCTTAGTCAGGGTGGCCCCAGAGGCCATAGCATCAAGAATACAGAAAATAAGAACCTGTAGTTAATTCCCTGGGGTGAGGTACAGAGCCATACTGCCCGGGTTGGAGTCCAGCTCCCAGCGGCCATGTCACCTTAGAGTGACAAGTTAGGTCAACTGCTCAGATGGAGAAACAGTAATAATAGCTCCATCAAAGGGGACCCAGCAGACTGACCCCGCAGAGACTGAGAACAGGGCCTGACGTGAGTGCTCGGTAGAGTTTCCTCTTCATTATTTACCCAGGATTCCTCTGGCCCTGGTGGAACAGCAGCTGGTGAAAATTCCACTTTCACTCATGAGTGATGGGCAGACTCCAAGCCGTCGTTTTTAAGGAATCAAGAATCTAGTTTGGGCTGCGCCAATTCCACCAGACCAATGTGGTCCCAGACCTGACCCTCTGTGGAAGGGCCCAATCCCGAAAACATGGCGCCCTCCTGTACACTACTCGTGTGCAAGCTCCACACAGGGGGACAATGCTCCCAATACCTCCAGCTCCCACGCCAAAGGTGCTCAGTTTAGTCCTTCTCCACAGGCTCCTGGGCCCCACTCGCACAGTTACTCCCTCCACCAGGGACCGGGTGCTACTTCCCACACAAAACTGATAAGCTATGTAAAAGCTGAGGAATGGAAGCATGTGCAGAGGTTCTGTCTACATTTACAAGACGTTTTCTTTACACTGGCTTCATCAAGAAAACTTTAGAAATGCAGGAGTGTCTCCCCTAATGATATAAAAGTTGAAAACAACTTATTCTTTATTACAGCAACTCCCTCAAAGACACATCGACTCTTCATCAAACAGTGCCAAATGACACTTTTCAACCCCAACACCCTTTGAACAGTTTGTCTTAAAAACATTGCCTTGCAGTGTGCACAAACGCGAAACCATTATATCACCATTCTTACCCAAACCTAATCACACCCTCCCCCCACACTGAAAGACCTGCTTGAATGCATGTTGCAAAATCTGAATAAATATGTGTCGTGCCCTGCCAAAAAAAAAAAAAGAATCTAGTTTGAAATCCTTCCATCTTTAACATGCGGTGCCATCCTTTTGGGCGCCATCATTTGGACGTTTCCCAGTTTCAGAATCTTTGTTAACTGGAAACAGCTAAGCCTGAAGTCTGGGTTTATTATTATTGTTGTTGTTGTTGATGTCATAGAATTGTCTTTTTTGCTTCCCTCTTGGAAATAGCTAATTTTCTTATTTTTGAAACTCTGGAGCACTTTGGGCTGGTGTCTTCGGAAACACTAGAGAATCGCCTATATTTTTTCCTGAGCTGTCCAGGTGCAGTTTGACTTTTTAATCCTCAAACTTGCTTGTCTGGTTTGAGGTTCACCTTGGAGTCCCTCAGGTCAGCGACCTGGACCTGTGACTGATCTCACAGGCCCCATGTGGAACAGTTCCAGGCATCTGCAGAGTCTTTCTCACGAGTTCATATAAGTGTGGTGTAAGTTTCAGCTTAAGCCCAAGAGCTCACAATCCCCCCACCGAAGAAATAACCTTGGACCTCACCGTCTATTCCTAACCAGTCTTTATTGGGAGTCCTTCCTCTCTTTCCTTAGTGATTGATACCATAGTTAAGAAAAGATTCTGTTGCATTATAGCCGATTCCAATACCACCCCCCCTGCATTAGCCTCTGACCCATTAGTCGAGAGAGTGTCTCGGAAAACTGAGGCCGGATGGAATGATATCTGTAAAGCTCTCTCGGGGAGTGTCTCAGGTGACTGGGACCTATTGGAATGATAATAGTTATCTCCCCTGGGAGGACACAGTAACAAAGTGTCTTGGGGCTATGTGGTGGAAGTGTGAAGGCATAGGATTTGCTGGAACACAATGGGAATGTTAATGGAAAAGGTCTTAAGGCACACAAATCACACGGTTACAAATTGATTGACAGCAGTTTCACTTCTTTACAAACTACTCAATAAAAGCCATGCGCTGACCCGATTCGGGGCCCTCTCAGTCTTCTCTGGCTGAGTCCCTTGGTCTCGCTCTTAATCCTACTTCTGTCTCTGTCTCTTTATTCAATCTGCGTCGCTCCTCTCGAGACCCATTTGCCTTTGCCACGCTGGACGTGACAAGATTCAAAATCTGGGCAAATAGCTGAGAATTTTAGACCCTCAAGGGGTCTGGTGGGACAACGTACTGACCAAGAAAAAAAGAGGGAAAGTGAGAGAATTCTCTCTTTTGCCATGATTTCCACGCATTCAAATTGGAAGCAGCTTGCTGACCCAGGTGGTTTGGGGTTAACTCCCTGCTGCTTCTCTTACTATATATTGTACCCCCAGA